TTGATGACGTGAAAAATTTGCCCATATCCTCTGGATTGCTTAATATATGATAAATAATGTTTACTGGCCACATGTTTCAGGATTTGGAATACTCTGGAAGAATTCTTAACAGGGTGATTATGAAAATAACCAATTTCCATAAGCGAAAATGACCATGTTTATTAATGGGACCACAATTGCCTATTGCATTCGATCCCATTTATAACCAGCAAGGAGACCGATTGTTCTGCATGATTTAGTGTTTACAAAATTATGGGTGCACGGCAAAGCTTACTGTACTAGAGGCTCCGGCAAGAAGCATATGTGGGTCTTTTGCAGGTAATAAAATGGAAAATCCAATTTGCAATTGCAGAATATGGCTCTGAGTGATATATGATCTTCATAGCAGCATCGGTCAGGGGGTCACCGCTAATCATGGTGCTGGCTGACTTCCCCTGTGGCCTGGGCCTTCCCACTGAAGAGGGAGCAGAGTGAATCTATGTCTGGGAGCCAGCCAGCGTGTCTGTAGATGCACCACTTTCTAGCTTATTAGATCCTCTTTGTCACAGTGCTTAATCCTGCTGCCTGATCCTTGTTAGAACACTGCCAGCGCGCTGCTCAGGCTTCTAATAAAGGAGCTGGGTGAGGGCGCCTAACTAGACGCACCGAAGCGTGCAGCGCGGCAGTGGAGGGGGATTGCATCCTGACAGCCGGGTGAGGTGCTTCCTGCATGTTATTACTTAAAAGGGAACCTACCTCCCACAGCTGACAGATGAGCTTTGCCGAGGCGAGGGTAACTTGTTGCTTGGCCAATATGAGACGGGTGTCATCTTTTCACACAGTATCATGGCCCAGCTTTACTCTAATTACATTAACCCCCTTCTGAAATTGCTGCCCTCCGGGCCGACGCGCCGCGAGGTAAGGAAGCGGGGGCCAGAGAGCGGGCTGGGAGGATTACAGCTGCACCGGGGTAAGGAATGTGTTCGCCGCTGCTGCCGCCGCCGCCAGTGACACGAAGTTGAAAAACAAAATAAGCACCGTCTTCCTAACACCAAGCCTGGTTATCGCTCTGAAGAGTCTGTGCCCGGCTCGGTGCATGCCATTTCCAGCTCTGTTGCCTGCAAGAGTGGCCTGCTCTAAGGTTGGCCGTGGACGCCAAGCATGGTTTTCAGGGTTCTTTGTTACAAAGAAAGCACAGCTTCGACCGCAAAGCTATTGTTTTGCTGGGGGGGGGGGGGTTGTCTCCCCAGGGAACCTGAATCGCTCTTTTTTAGTGACCTCCCAGTCCCGGTAGCCCTGGGAGGACCTGGGCACCTGATTCAGTAGCGTCGTTCCATACTAAAATAAACACATGGGGCTGGGGGAGGGTAACCCAGGCCCCCACCCCCTCTAGCTAGAATGCACAGGTGAGTGTGAAGGGGGAGGATGCTCGTGAGGATCTGTCCCGTGATCCTTTGTGTGTATCCCGACTCTCACACTCCTTTTCCCCAAAGCGTATGTGTCTAGCCTACCTCCAGTGTCTCCTGCGAGCTCCACTTAGCAGACGTCATTAGCAGTCCCCTCTGTCTCTTCTGTCTCCATTGACAGCACTTAAATAGAGACATTGCTAGGGACTGACAGATCTCCGGGGGGTTAGAGGCTTCAGACAAAAGGGCCCAGAGAACACGGCTGACCTTTCTTGGCATTATTCGCCTAGCTCTGTCTTCCATGTGTGGCAGTCAGGGAGCATGGAACTTTAGTACGTGATTTTCACTAAAAAGGCTGCTGGCTTCGCAAGAGGCTGTTAATAAGTTAACAAGAGGCCGTGTACATTCCCAAGTGGGTATGTGGGTTGTAGGTGGTAGAAAGCAGGCTCATCTTTCCCACAGAAATAATGTACCTGGACCTCAGGTTCAAAGCTGAGCCATTAAAATTTGCTTTGCTCATAGTATACTTGTACTTTTGCATTCTTGGGGCAACCCTTGGACCTTGGTGGAAGGGAGCTTATGATACGGCCCAGGAAGGAAGAGAGTTCTCTTCCTCTCACTGTCCATGGACGTCGTCCCTGAGCAAATTTAGAATAACTGAGGATTGCCTCTTGGGGGCAGGGGTGGGTCCTTCCTAGAGCCTTTCCCTGGTCCACGGTGCTCTCACACTGACCCAGGGCCCTGGAAATGCAGCATGGTGAGAAGTGCTCTGGGCTCCTGCTTCCCTCCCTCCTCCCCCAACTCTTCTTCCACAAACTAAAGAATAGTGTCCCCGTGATCCCAGTTAATTTGTGGTAACATATGAATGACGGGGAGTCTTGGACGTTCATCAGATCAAATTATACCCATTAGAAATTCAGACTCTGCTTCTCAGTAGGATAAACAACTTTGGGGAACAGGGAGGAACGATTTTTAGGTCAGAGTAACCACTAACAAGTGGATCCCTTTGCTTAGGAATTGCTTTGCCTCCTTAGGCAATTCACGCTTCTCATGACTTCTCCTTCTTTGCTTAGCCACTTTGGAATGCCATTTTTTTTTTTTTCCAAGTGTCTCTGTTGTTTTTGTTTCTTCATGGTTGATTTCATGCTGATGTCAGTGGGCCAGCCTTAAGAGACAGGAAGATAGGTAAAGGCAGCTTGTTTATTAGGTGAATGTTTTAAGAGAGGTGTTCATCTTCTAGTGCCTCTGCCCTCAACTTCTTAGTGACTTGCTACACCATGGTTACTCATGTCTGGCTTGTGGGCCCTTCCCTCGATAACCATGCTTCTTCTTCTTTTTTTTTTTTTTAAAGATTTTATTTATTTATTTGAGATAGAGAGCACGAGAGGGAAGAGGGTCAGAGGGAGAAGCAGGCTCCCTGCTGAGCAGGGAGCCCGATGCGGGACTCGATCCCAGGACTCCAGGATCATGACCTGAGCCGAAGGCAGTCGCTTAACCAACTGAGCCACCCAGGTGCCCGATGACCATGCTTCTTAAGAACTGTGGGCAACCTATTCACTGTGCATTTAACACAGGACACTTAAGAAATACAGAATTTTTTTTTAGAGTAATTTTTACATAGAAAACTTTTTTCAGACGTTATATTCATTTTTAGGAAAAGTGGAAATTGGAAAAAAAGTAATAAGAGAATGATATTGAAGAGTGGATGAGGACATAGAGTATAGCAAACGAGATCCTAAAAGAAGAATTACAGAGGAATTGAAAGGAGAGATCAGTTTTATTCTTGGAAAGCTAAAAGCCCTCCCCAAGTGAAGATAAAAACAAACAGCCCATTGCCTATAAGGTCACACTGAAGTAAGATACCCAGCTCCCCAGAGAATTTGTGCAGCTCTGGGATTTTCATTTGCCCTAGGCAGTTTTCTGACTCATGGTTTAGAGAATAAAGCCCATTAATTTACCAAATGAGTTAATATCTGACTAATGATGTTTAACCATTAAGATGAGGAAATATACAATATTGATAATCTTGGAGAGAAATTTATCTGCTTATTTTTGTACTTAACACCAACAGAGTCTAAGTAGTGTTGGAAAGATCATGATGAATTACTCACTGGTAATATTTAGTAATATCAGTTTTCTTTAAAAGCATTTTATTAAATTGTAATCACTTTTATATTGGTCTTCTGTTGCTTTTTTTTTTTTTTCTGAATAGTTACAAAGTTCATCTAACAAAAAAAAGATTGAAACTCTCAATTCTTTTGTTTTAAGAAGAAATATCACATCATCTTTCCGGTAAAAATGTTTGTTCATTTCTAAAGCCCAGATCAGCAAGGAAATTATATGCTTCATGGTATACTTGCATCCCAGAATGTGTCCTCCTCATCTTGAGTTATCAGTTATGACAAAATCGGCAAGTAGAGTTTCAAAACAGGACAAACATGGTACTTTGGATGTGTTTTGGGAAGAATGGTTGCTGGGTGTCTGTGTTTACGTAGCCTTGGCTGCCTGTAGACTGGGGGTCTGAAAATGGGCTTCCTCAGTAGGGCTTATAGGGAAAGGCCTTTGGTGAGCCTCCTGCCAGGTAAACTGCATACATCTCTGCTCCATAGTCCGTAGCTGCGCTGTTCCCGTCTCTTGCATAGGGCAGGCGTGTGATGGAAAGCTCTTTCACACATAGCCTTTTCCATTTTTGAGTATACCAAACAAACAAACAAAAAAAGGCAACTGATTACTAAGAGATGATACTCGGATGGGTGGCGCTTACTGGGTTTTTTTATGCTGCCTTCCTTAACCCATCCTTGGTTGATCTAGGACATGTAACCTGATAGCTTCCCCAGACATTCTAGAAAGAATATGAGATTTGGAATCAGAGCCTTGGGTTCAAATCCCCATTCTTAAGTTTTCTCATCTTGGACATAGTACTTAATTTTGCCACGGTTCCATTTCTTCACCTATGAAGTGATGTCAATGACTGACCTTAGGGACTGCTGGAGAATCAAATGAAGAAATGCTGTTTTTAGGACAGCATTTAGGACAATACAGATATGAATTTCTAGCATGACCGTGTTCATGAGATTCATTTAGTGCTGATTCTGTGATGTGCTTATGGTACCTGAGGAATGCAGTAATAATTTTACCTGGGCAGTGTTCTTCCTTCACTCATGTTCTACTCTGATGAATAGTGGTGTTGATTGGATTGGGTTTAGATCAGATTTGACAAGTGGTGATGTACATTGTCAGGTAGAATTTCAGGAGGTTCTGATAGGGTTGTTTCTTTCGATCTTGGATAGGTCGTTTTCTTCTCTAACAGATACCTAGAAAAATAAAGCATATACTGCATTTGCAAGAACGCCTCCCAATTTTACTTCCTTTCTGTCCCGTTCCCCGACTGCCTTCCTCCCTCCCTCTCTCCCTTCCTAATTTCTTGGGCCAGGGTACTAGGACTATGCTTTCATACCAGTGAGAACTTGAAGTAACACATTTTTTAAAAATCAAGTCGAATGATCCAGGAGATCCTTGGGGTTGTGCCGTGGTTGCTGGGCAGGACTTCTTAGACCTGATTTTGTGTTGGATGAAGTGAACTTCACCTTTTCCTGTTTCCTTGCATCATTTCAGGAAACTTGGATTTAACTGGTCAGAAGCAAGTGTTCAAAGCGGAGAACAATCCCTGGGTTACCCCAATCGCTGACCAATTCCAGCTTGGCGTGTCCCATGTTTTTGAATATATCCGTTCTGAGACGTACAAATAGTAAGTAGACTGCGATTCTCTAAAATAGTAGTCGTTTTATAGTATTTGTAATTATACCATTTTTAAAAAACTATCATATGACATTGTCACATCGGTGGCAGTTAGCTTATAGTATTTTTAAATGTTTTATTAATAACCACATGTAGTAACTGTCTCTGTTTTTATAGATGATTTTTAATTGACGTTTTCAAAGGGAGTTTGTACCAAATTTGTTAAAAAAATTTTTTGAGGTATTAAATTAGTTGACTATTAAAGGCACTAACGAAGTTCACCAGACACATTAAGATCATCACATACTTTTTTCTCCTTTGCAAAAAATAACAAATGTTATGAACAAAATTGTTAAGCAGTTTATTTACAGAATCAGGAGAGACAGTTAGGAAAGCATCATTCTATTCTTCGGAAGCTCTTACACTGGCAAGATGATAATCTCTCTAAGAGAAAAAGAAAAGGCTGAAAAAGAGGAGGAGGAATCAGCTAGCTTAAGTCACAGCATCAGAATCCCCCAAATCCTTGCCCAGGGTCAAGGGCAGCTTGTGAGGAGCCAGGCCTCCAAACCTGGTTCTTCCTCATTGTGTCAGGGTCGGTAGGAATTCTTGCACCCCCTACTTGCTCTGTTGTTGTTACATCTCCTGACATTATTTTCCCCTCATCCCATCCCCACCCCCAAGTTGAAGTGATCGTTCTTCCCTGTGTTTTCATGATCCTTAATGCTGAAAGCTGATCTCCTCTAGTTTGAAGCAAATGTAGAAGAGACTTGAAAAAAAACCCATAGTCCGGTTTAACCTGATTTTGTGTGCAGCCCCAACCTCTGAGAAGTTAACATCCCAGCTAGTCGAGAAGAGCTAGAGGATCATAAAGGGTCACATGCAGTTAGGAGCTTGCATTTTGGGATCAGAACAATGCCCCCCCCCCTCAACTCAACACAGGCCTTGCTGAGTCTATGCTGGGGCAGTGGGTCAGAATTAACCAACAGGGCAGCATCCCTTCCTATACGTGGTGGGCTGTAGTTCTGGAGCCCCCTTCCTGTGTACCCTTGTATGCGGAACTTGTCACAGTCCTGTTTCCATCGGGCAGAATCCCAAAGAGGATGAGCTGTGAAGAACAATGGTGTTAAGACCAAATAGACTAGAATTGCTGACATGATAGCATATCCTCATCTATGAAAGCAGCTTAAAGCATGGTTTAGATTTCTTTTAAGATAATTCTGTGACATTTGCAATATATCTGAAGCCTTACCTATAAGAGTAAAATGAGAGAAGTATAAGATATGTGTTATGGTTTCATGAGCCACATAGTTATGCGCAATTATATATATAGTTTCTTTAAATACGAATATAGCTCAGCCTTAGTAATTAGTTCATTATGAAAATGTGTGAAAATATAATTGCACATTAGCAGCTTATTGTTCATTTTGTTCCTCTTAAATTGTTAATCATTGCTATCATCAATTTTAGATGGATGTCTGATTTTTTGTTGGTAAATGGCAGTCTCCATAGATCTTGGTTTGTAGGTTATCTTTTTAGAAAATCCTTGCATACATTTTAACATGCAGAAAAATCTACAGGCAAGCTTTTTTTTGACTGAGAACTGGGAAAAATACTCTGTTTTTTATTCTGGCTAACATTCTTTTGTTTTATCATCCATTAATTTATAATGTATAGCGTATTAGAATACATTGCCTATAAAAGCACTTCTAATTTTAATTTCATTTTAAAAGATTAAGTTGTGAATTTATGAATATTGTATTACCTCAGAGTCATTATTAATCATTATTACAACTAATCACCATTATACACTATTTATTATATATTATAAACTATTTCTGGTTATTTGAACATGGTTAGGATTTCGGGTGAATGAGATTCATTGCCTTCATTGAGTTAATTGTTCAGTTACTCAAAAGGGAGTATACGGCATGACATTTTAATCGGTAACATGTTTGTTGTCTATATGGCCCTTTCTCTCTTATCAGCATCCTGGTTTTGAGGATCAGAGTAATCTAAGCAATTTGCCTACCAGCTTACTTTTTGATTTCCTCATGGAGAATGATATTATCTTTTACACAGTGAAATGAACATTCCCCACGTTCAAAAGCTTAAGTAAGCATAGGAGCGTTGTTAATCCCTTTTAGGGGGACAGGTTAGCACCCCGTTCACTGTTTTTAGAGGAGTCTCTGTGAGCCTCTGTGGGGAGCATACACTTGCTGGGACCTCCTCGAGGGCAGGGCCCCTTGGTGAATTCCCTCGGAGCTCTCCTCTCCTCCTTGGGAAAGAGAAGAGTGTTGGCCGTTCTCTGTTTCAGCTTTCTGTCCTTCCCCCCCCCTCCCGTAGAGGCTGTTCTCACTCCGTTACCAAACATACTAGCCAAACACGTGGACTATTAACTAGGTAAGACACTAAGTCAGACTCTTAGTCCTAGTCTTTTTTAAAAAAATACTTACACAGAAATGCCACCATTATGTTTCACTGAGTTTTAACATGTAAGGTTCTCTTTTATGTGAATAGCTGTATATTGCTATAGCCTCCTATAACTAGAACCCGACTTAATTCTTTAATTTTTTTTAAGTAGCCACTTCCTAATCAGAGGACTTGTAGCATAAAGCTGTGCCTGTGTTGACTTTTGAGGAGGCAGTTTATTCATTACATTCCCATTTTTCTGAAAAAAGCCAGTTTCACATTCAGCACCTTCATCTTAGGCGTTCTGTTCTAAAAGCTGCAGTTTCTACTCTTTGCTTCCTTATGTCTTTTTCTATAAGCCACATATACCCCTTCCCATAACAAATCCTTTTTTTTTTTAATATATTGATCTTCAGACTACCAAGAAAGCATATTTTAATTTTACTTCGGCACTTAAATCGCTGATGATGATCCATCCCTTTTTTCCCAATTTTCTAACCAATTGACTCGTTACCTAAGCGAGATCAGTGAAGAACTTACTGGCATGTTTCCTTTCCATGCATGTCCGTGGTTAGCTTTCACAGCGACCTTCCTGTTCCAAGCACATCCTCAGAGGCCTTCTGAGTCTAGAGCAGCGACAGGCAGAGGAGATAGATGATCCCACTTCCAGGCTCTCATGGACTCCAAGAGGGGACGTGGACATTTGAAACAAAACAGTGAAATCAGTGTGCAGGAAGAATGAAAATGCTCTGAGATGATTTAACGTGGTGAAGATAGGAACTTGTGCACTTCTTGAGCAGGGAGGAGCCGTGGCTAGGTGTGGCCAGGAGTGTGTCGAGGTGTCGTTTTCAGGAGCTTGTTCTGTTGAGTACACTTTGGGAATCCCTCATGTCCTCCTCATCATTTTTCAGGTGGGGACTGCTCTTTATCCATTTATCATACGTTCAGCAAAGGGAACATGCTGGCTGGTGTCATCGCAGTGCCCATTCATTGTGTTACTCCCTCTGTTCAAGTACAGTCATTCGCTCGGTCGGGTTGTTGAGGAGCAAACCCTATGAGGGCATCAGCATTTTCCGGCTGTGGTCGAGCTCTCCGGTCACCCCTTAACTCTGTATTTGGTAGTGGTTTTCTCCTTGCATGACCTCTCTTATTTCTGCGAAGCAGAATTATGATCAAATAGTCACCACTTGTTAAGTTTCCAGAAGGCAGATTCCCCCCCTTCCCCCCGAGAAGTCAGATTAGAGTCAGGATCCTTGACAAGATGCTTTGTGAAAGGGAGTAACTCACACTTTTCACATTTCCATCAAGGAAGGTGGATAGGAACCTCAAGCCATTTTAAAAGCTGACAAGTTAACTCTTAACAAAAGAAGAGGTTTGACAAATGTTTGGCTGAAAATGTGTTGGTTGAAAGAGGCATTTGGAAAACAGGCATCCTCATGAAGGCTGCATTTTACGAAGTATGGTGGTCCAAAAGCCTCATTTCCAGAGTGGCATCACTCAGAGGATGCTTCCCCGTCATTCTTCCTGCCCCATGACTTGCTTTTGTCTCTGGGGAGAGACGCCACACTCACTTACATTTTTATTTTCTTCTTTAATCTTGAGTGACGACTGGCCCTACGATTATTCATGCCAGTTAGTGGAAACATTTTCACAAAGCAACACTTGGTGAATGTTGGGCAGTGATGAGAAAAATGCCGGCAATTTCTTTTCACTAGAAATCAAGCAAAATAAGTCATCCTGTTTGATTTGTAAGGAGGAATACTTTTATCTGCTGGTTATTGTCTCTGAACTTATTTTGCTTGCACAGTTCAAACTAAGAAATGTTTTCTTTTTTCTGCGCTGCGTGCAAACCTGTGTACAGGCTATGGCAGATGTAAATGGGCTTTTTTTAAACAACTAGCCTATCCTCTAATGGATGCCGCGTCAGTGACCTAGAAGACCCTTTAATAACAGATCTATCTCGTCTATCAAAAGGCCCCAGCATTTCAAACCTAGTAAGTGATCCTGTTCATTTTGAGACAGCCCTTTCCGGAAGGAAATCCCTTCTAACAAAGCCCTCCAAACCTTATTAGTTTCTGCTGAAGTATAAATGGATGCGCAGAACTAGCAGATGGTTTTATAAATACCACAGAAGGATGGAGGAGAGGGTTAAACTTCCAGGACCTTTCTAGCAGTTAGTGAATTTTACGAAGTGATACAGGAAGGCAGGAAAAATGTTGACTTTTCTTTCATTACTGTACCTGAAAATAGCTCACATTAAGCCAGAGAAGAAAAACATTTCTTTAGAGTAGACATGAAAATGAAGAACCAGTTTTTTTTTTTTTCCTAAAGCTTTGGACATAAAAGATTGTTTTTATTTTTAAAAGTTGACTGTGTATTGGGTTCCTGGTAATTTATATTTCCCTTATAGATGTTACATATATATATTTTGGTTCTTTCTTAAGTTAATAAATGTATTATCACATTTCTTCCATAATACAAAAAATACGATTCAAACTTCTGATGTCTCTGAATCTATTTGCATGCAAATATGTTACATTTACCTAACATGCTAAGAAATAGCAAAGAGGAAAGGGAAACCCATAAGGTATATTTTGGATGGTATTGTATCATATACCTTATCTGATGCTGACTTTGATTGGTAAAATTGCAAGTGTTCCTTTTTCTCCAGATAGTATGTTACCAGCACAAGGAGCTGAGACATGTTTATTCCCCTGAACAGACATGTCAGGACAGTAATACCAGCTGTGGATCTTGGACACAGTCACTCACCTGTTGCTCTGTGTCTCCATGAGCCGCTCCTTGCCCTGGTAAATTAATACCTCCCTCTTAAGGTAACAGGAGGAAAACAGATCATGCGAGGAAGAGTACATAACAATTTTGTCTCTCTTCCAAGTTTTTTTGATAGATTGCTTAATGTAATTTACATTTAAAAGGATCTTTGCTTTTCTGCTGTTAACTTGTTGAGCACTATCATTCAGGTATACTTTAGAGGTAATTAGCATTGGGCGCCTGGGTGGCTCAGTTGGTTAAGCGACTGCCTTCGGCTCAGGTCATGATCCTGGAGTCCCAGGATCGAGTCCCGCATCGGGCTCCCTGCTCGGCAGGGAGTCTGCTTCTCCCTCTGACCCTCCCCCCTCTCATGTGTGCGCTCTCTCTCTCTCTCTCAAATAAATAAATAAAATCTTTAAAATAAAAAAAAAAAGAGGTAATTAGTATTTTTCCATTTTCTTGGTACATGTTCACCATTTTTTCGATACATGAAGTTTTTATTTGCCTTTTGAAGCTTTATTTTTCTATAATTTTATAGCTCATGCAAAATAGTTCAGTTTTTTAAATGGAAGGTGCATCCCGCTTGACATTGCCAGTGTACTTGGATTCCAGAAGAGTCACAGTAGGGAACCTCTGCCCCCTAAACCTATGAAGGTCTAGGGTGAACCCTGCCAGGGTTTAAAAACCAGCTTCAGGGGGCTACTTGGTATTCCTGGAGGCATCCAGGAAACCGCATCTTATATATATTCTGGAACGTTTTTTACTCTGACTTGGCTACACATGCAGACCTGGGGAAGTCTCCCTTGCATATCCACGGTCACTGTGGTCCTCCAGTGTAGTCATGCCCCAGCCACACCTTGCTGGCCTGCCACCTCTGTGGGGACAGGCTCGGTCAGGTTTGACCATCGAGCAGAAGCTCTGTCAGTCTTTCTGCATTTTATTCAGCGGCTAACTACACTTACCATTAAAAAGTTGTGAATCCATTTACAATAAATGGGAAAAAAAATACAACTTCTGCCTCAAAAGGAGAAGAATGATGTTTATTCTGAACCTCGCACTTTTATGTAATATGATTTTAAAGTGCAGAACAATCATGTCCTCCCTCCCCACCCCTTATCTCAACTTGTATATTGACTGTCAGGCTTACATTGAGGCTGTCTTGTACAGCTGGACTGTAATGTACTGCGTGATTCGTTATAGTATCAATTTAAGGTAAATAGAATATAGATAATTTGTTCTACTTGACAGAAGAAAATCAACATAAGCTAGACTCAGCCTGTACTCTAAAAAGGAAATGTGTCAGCTTACTTCCTCTTCAGGCGCTATTAAGAGTTCCATTTTTAGATGAGATTTACTTGATATAATCACATTGAGCTATTAAGTATTGACCTCCTCAATGAAATGAAATTGATCAGCCCTGCATATTGACAACCTTTTTTTAACTCTCAGTAATCTTAAAGTTAAATGCTTGAGCTTTCTATCCAGCTAAGATGAGTTATTGCCTGCATTTGCAGTTTTTATTTGAGAGATAAATTAGTAAGTGATGCTTTTATAATAAAAAAAATCTGTGATTTCTATTGTCTACACAGTAATATCTTATTTTATTACATGCTGGCTTTTTATTCTGGTCGAGATTAGCAGAGGGTTTTGAGGGGGAGTTTTGGTAATTTTTGGCAGTTCAGGGTTCTTCTGTACCATCAGAAATTCTGACTTAGGATGTGTACTATGAAAGGAGTTTCAATCAGCTTTATCAGATAAAAAGCTTAACTGTGAGTTATGTTCATAGGCATCTGTTGATGTTCCAGTTTATTTGCCAACCCTTAAGGAAACAACTTTTCATATTTTATCCTGTTTTGTTAGTGTGTTATTTCATATGTATTTTTTAAGACTCATGGTATAAAAAGTTTGCAGTCAAGAAATACTGTTTCCACTCTGATAGTTAATTTTTAAGTAATCTTAAACTTGGAACATATGCTGTTCCATCACCTTCAAGTTGTACATACTTTTGATTCTCCATCCAATTAGATCATGTATATTTAAAGAATAAATAATCGTTGAGGTTTGGCTGTTTTATATGTCAGGTTTACCAAGTAAGCACGTGGCTTTTTCTTTTTCTTCCTGCTGATACCTGGTTTTGTCCAAATTTGGTTGTCTAAGCCACTTAGCAGAAATTTATTGTCTTACAGTTCTAGAGGCTGGAAGTCTGAGATCAAGAAGTCGATGGGGTTGGTTTTTTTTCTGACAGAAGGATCTGTTCCAGGCCTTTCTGCTTCTTCTGTCCCTTCACATCATCTTCCTTGCTGGTGCATCGCTGCCTGCATCCAAATTTTCCGTTTTTATAGGGACACAAATATGGTCACATTCTGAGGTACCGGGGGCTAAGGCTTCAACAGGTGAGTTTGGGAGCGGATAGGGGTACAGTTCAACCTGTAACATGGCTGTTACTTGGATGCCCAGAAATAGCATTCAGCCCTCTATCCATGTGTTCCACCTCTTTACTCTTTTCCTCCACAGGCCCCGTAACTTCACAGGAGGCATGTTTTCTCTATTAGCGAGTATGTTTGAATGACTCTGTGAGACTTGATCCACCCCCCTCCCCCATGCCTCTCCTAATATGCTTGGCTTCTGGAGTTTGGTGTTTCTCCAAAGCATGCACATTCACTCCGGTTTCATTTTAGGGACACAGGATAGGCTCTTGTGCCTGGCAGAGGAGTCAGTGTTTTTATTTCGAACCTTCTAACAGTGGACCATGTTAAAACAGAGACTGGCTAGGATTTAAGGGTCCCTTGGGAATGAAAGGCACCTAAGAAAGCCCCCTGCTCTGTCGTATTTGGCTAGAGAATTCAAGAAGGGAGGGTTATATAGAGCACCACCCGCTGGACCCCATGCTGTTTCTCCCACAAGAATCTTCTAGAAGGAAGATGCTGTACAGAGGGCATTTGTGCCTCCTGTCTGACTCATATGCCATGGAACCCACACTAGCAGGTATGGGTTGTTCTCCCTGGGACTTTGGTAGCTACTGGCATGTTACTCAGTAAGGGGTCAGAGATTTCCTGTCTCATCTCAGAGTTCCAGTAACCACATTGGGAGCCCTTATAACTTTGTTTCATTTTTCTTACCTTATCTCTGGAGTCTTAACAGGCAAGATTGAGTCTATTAATAACAGGGCAGGGAATTCTGTTCTCATGTAATTAAGCTGGTTTGCTTTCCCAGCAGAGAGAGGGGCATCAGAGACGGAGTGCATATTTTCATGTGATGCTCCATGGTGTCAAGACACAGGCATACTGTGCTGTGAAGCTCTGAGGAAAAAAGAAGGGAAATAAGTCTGTTCTTAGCATATGTACTGGTCCTAGAGGTGGGCCTCTGGTCTCAGTTCTGTCAGTGGCAAAGGGCCTCTGCACACCCATGCTTGGCTTCCCCGTCTCGAAGGGAGTGATTCAAACTAGATCATCTCAAAGTTGCCCCAGGAATGATTTCCACTTCTGATTTTTTTTTTTTCTGGGAAACATGTTTTATTGTCTATATTAGTTCATTATTTTTTTAAAAATTTAGTTTAATTCCTGAATTTGCCCCCATATGGACTTACTTCATTGATTTTTTTTTTAAAGGTAACGAAAGATGATGATGACCCTGAATATAAATTGTTACAGGAAAATGGATACAAGATAAAATTACCAGATCAACCTTTTTATTCTATATTTTATGGAATACCTAATATATGTTTGGCAGTAACTTATTCATACACATGAATTCCTGACACTTTCGATTCTTCAGACTTATTAATCAGTGTAGTCAGCACCAGAGCAATTTTATGAGACTTACCAGTCATCAAAAATTTATTATCATATAAATCAAAGAAACAACAAGCATCTTAATAGGGTAGAGAAAGTGGCATGTAAAAGATCGTTTAAGACTATGCTTTTTGTCGGTTGTGTGTTATATTTACAGCCTGTATCAGAGAACTTACTCATAATTTCATGCAAAGGGTCAGCAGGGTGCTAGTTAGCTTCTTAGGTGAAACCTCTTCTCTTTGTTTTTCTCCAGTAGAGTATTTTGTTGGGTCTTAACTGTAAGACCAAGGATGCTACGTAGACAGAAGGTAGGAAACCTCATGTTCGAATGTGAAGCGTGTAGCATTCGTTTTAAACTAGGATCTACATTTTCTTTGGATTCTGTTACAGTTGTCATCCAAAGTTAAGAATCCGCAAGCTCTGTCCTTTCCTTTGGGACGAGATTGCTAAGCTTGAACTCTTGGAAATGGCGTGGGGAAACAGCAGTCGACAAACTACCTCTCTTGTGGATGGGCTCTGCGTGTACCCTCTGAGATATGAGACGCAGGCGAATGTCTACTGTGTTCTTGGCACAGTTTCTGGCACCATTCTGAAGGAATCACAAAAGGTTTGGATCTCCATCATGTGAGATGAGCTGTTTGGAGGTGAGCTTTTCCATCCCCTGAGCCTGAGTGTCCCAGACTCTCACTAATCTCTGGGACGGAAGGATCACGGAGGTGGGCCAACAAAGGGCTGAGCTTCCACTGTGGAGCTTCTGTACACATCCACCGGGAATGGACCCGAAAGACAAAGCTGCGTTATTTCCCATCAGACATACAACCGGCTGCCCACCTCACATCTCCTTAAGTGCTGTTTTCTCTGCCCGGAATGTTCCTTCTTCCCGTATTTACCTATTGAAAGCCCCGTGTTCTTCAAGTATCAAATACTGCTTCCTGAGAGACCTTTTTTCTGAAGATTTCCCCCTCGCCCGTGTCTTCCAAATCCCTTTTATCCTCTTTCTTCAGAGCCTTTACTTTTCCTTAGTAGCAGTTTTAATAATAATAGTGATCAGTGGGGCGCCTGGGTGGCTCAGTTGGTTAAGCGACTGCCTTCGGCTCAGGTCATGATCCTGGAGTCCCGGGATCGAGTCCCGCATCGGGCTCCCTGCTCAGCGGGGAGTCTGCTTCTCCCTCTGACCCTCTTCCCTCTCGTGCTCTCTCTCATTCTCTCTCTCAAATAAATAAATAAAATCTTTAAAAAATAATAATAATAGTGATCAGTTATTGAGTATTGACCATGTGACAGACATCGTGCTCAACTCATTACAAGTGCTGTTTATCATTTTATAACACAGTATTTCTGTGAATACTAACCTTTATTTGGTGGGGGAGGGGAGGGAGCTTAGTACATGTTTTCTCTCCCTTAAGAGGCTGTAATCTTTTTGAGAGCCATACTCAAGATTCCTGCAAGCCTGAGCTTTGCATGTGGCATGCCCTCAATGTCTTACATAAATGACCTGTCTCAGGCGGAGTAGCCTCTGACAAGTTGCCCAGATTTCTGAAAGAAATCACAAAAGAAAAAACAAAAACCATTCCAGCCTCTAGAATGGACCAAGTTACAGGGTTTTTTGTTTTTGCCGTGCCCGGTAAACAATAGTCAAAACATTTAAATGCCTTCTCCATATATAGTATTAAGTGAAGATGAAGTCTTCACGGTAGTCTTTCACTGTGTGTATAGATCTCCTCTTTTTTTACCACTCTACTTCCGTATTAGAAATGAAATCGTTTTTTAACCACAAGTCAATGAGCTGTGTTTGAAAGTGAGCCCTTCCTCTCTGTGAATCCACAGCCTCCGTGGTGATTTTGTGCACCTTCTCTTTGTCAGGGGAGTGTTTCGTGGCATCCGGAGTGTGGGACTGTGTCACAAATGTTTGGACTCTTTCTGAGAGAAACTCGGGTTAATGGTGTGGGTGGTTATCTCTAGGGAAGAAAACTGGGTGGCCAGAGGCTGGGAGGGCAGACTGTATTGCCCTCTCCATTTACCCTTTGGTACCTGTTGAATGTTCTGTTTTATACACATATTCACTATTTAATAGATTGTTTAAAAACCAATGAAGAACCTGTAGGGCCCTTGAAGTTAAGAAACGACAAAGGCTGTAGCGGTATATAGGCCTACCTCGTTTTATTGCCCTTTGCTTCATTGTGCTTCTCAGATGATGTGTTTTTTTGTTTTTTTTTTCTTAAGATTTTATTTATTTATTTGACAGAGAAAGACACAGCGAGAGAGGGAACACAAGCAGGGGGAGTGGGAGAGGGAGAAGCAGGCTTCCCGCAGAGCAGGGAGCCCGATGCGGGGCTCGATCCCAGGACCCCGGGATCATGACCTGAGCCAAAGGCAGACGCTTAACGACGGAGCCACCCAGGCGCCCCGATGATGCATTTTTTTTTTTTTTTTTTACACTTTGAAGATTTGTGGCAGGCCTGTGTCGACCTAGTCTGTTGGTGTCATTTTTCCACTAGCATTTGCTCACTTCTTGTCTCTGTGTCACGTTTTGGTATTTCTCACAATATTTCAAGCTCTTTCATTATTAGTGTATTTCTGATGGTGATCTGTGATCAGTGGTATTTGATGTTACTAGTGTAATTGTGCTCAAATAAGACAACAAACGTAATGGGCGGACGTTGTGTGCTCTGCCTGGTCCAGCCGGCTGGCCAGTGCCCTGTCTCTCTCCTGCTCCTCAGGCCTCCCATTCCTGAGACACAGCTGCAGATGGGGTAGAAATCGCAAGAGAACTAGAATTAGAAGTGGAGCCTAAAGATGGCACTAGATTGCTGCAATCTCATGAAAAAACTTGAACGGATGAGGAGTTGCTTCTTATGGATGAGCAAAGAAAGTGGTTTCTTGAGGTGGAATCTAGTGAAGACGTCGGAAAGGACAACAAAGGATTTAGAGTATTACATAAACTTAGTGGGTAAAAGCAGCTGCAGGGTTTGAGAGGATTGACTTAACTTTTGAACAAAGTTCTCCTCTGGGTACAGTCTGAACAGCATCACATGATCCGGAGAAGTTGTTTGAGAAAGGAGGAGTCAGTTGAAGTGGCAAATTTCATTGCTGTCTTTTTTTTTTTTTTTTTTTAAGATTTTATTTATTTATTTGAAATAGAGCAGGGGGAGGGACAGAGGGAGAGGGAGAGAAAGGAGACCAAACAGACTCAGTGCTGAGCACAGAGCCCGACACAGGGCTTGATCTCATGACCCTGAGAGCATGACTGGAGCCAAAATCATGAGTCGGACGCTTAACTGACTGACCCACCCAGGTGCCCCCATTGCTGTCTTATTTTAAGAAATTGAGGGGCGCCTGGGTGGCTCAGTCGTTAAGCATCTGCCTTCGGCTCAGGTCATGATCCCAGGGTCCTGGGATCGAGCCCCACATCGGGCTCCCTGCTCGGTGGGAAGCCTGCTTCTCCCTCTCCCACTCCCCCTGCTTGTGTTTCCTCTCTCGCTGTCTCTCTCTGTGAAATAAATAAATAAAATCTTTAAAAAAACAAAAGAAATTGACACAGTCACCCCAATATTGAGCAGCCACCACCCTGATTGACCAGTCAGCAGCCATCAACATTGGAGCAAGGCCCTCCACCAGCCAGAAGATGATGACTTGCTGAAAGCTCACATGAAGGTCAGTATTTTTTAGCAAAAATATGTATTTATTTAGACATAATACTGTGGCACACTTAATAAACTACAGTATAATGTCAGCATAACTTTTGGGAAACCACAACCTTCATGCGACTTACTTTATTGAAATTAATAAATAAGTATTTGCTTTATGATAGAGGTCTGGATCCAGACCCTCAGTATGTCCGAGGAACGTATGCCCATAGTTGGTTTTGTCTCCTGTGTTGGCTCTTTTCCATTCATTTGCCGAGATTGAGTGGAAGGCTTCTTACCAGGTATGCTGTTTAACCAAGTATAGCCAAAACCTTCTTAAAGGGTCCTGAGTCTTAGAAAGGGACTCTCTAAATGAGAGCTTGAAAGAAGGTTTCTCACTTAATGCAGTGATCATGCCTATTCTTGGCTTAAGTATTGTGAAATCTTACATTTTTTATATGTCTCAGATAACATCAGGCTTTCCTGTATCCTTGGAAGAATCTGTAGCAATTCATTTTTCCTTTATAATCTGTAGTCATTCATAAAGAGGTAACAGAGTAGAATAAGGAAGAAAAAACAACAAAATGTACTTTTGTGTTAAGTATCTTCAAATAGGTGTATTTTCCCACCTAAGAGTTTAAGTGATTGAAAGTAAGGTTTTCTATATTTGAAAGGTCGTGAGGGTTTGAAAGGAGGAAGAATGGATGTTGGAAGAGTTCATTGTGTATGAGAGGATGAGATTGGGCTTCAGGTTTCCATACAAGAGACATGGATTTTTGTTGTCTTAATTTTTCTCATTTAATTATTTTTTTGGCTGTAAGCTAAGATGACGTATGTGTTTCAGACTGTTTATGTGAGATTATGAGCATTTTTAATCTGTTCTTGTGCTTTCTCAGTAGAAACTGCGTGAGTGGTAATCTTTTAATAGACTGTTTTTCAACTAGTGAATTTATTTTGGTACTAAATTCTAGATAATTCCTAAGGAATGTAAATTTTGTTAATAACAATTTTTGTTTTGAACTACTTAAAATCTTAGAACTGTATTTTTTTATTTTTTATTTATATTTTTAGTTTTCTGAAGCAGACTTCTTTATTTTGAATAAGTTGAATTACTGAGACAGCTCAACAAGGAAACTACTGGTCATTAGGTTGATTGAATGAAAATATTCTTTATTATTTTTATACTGAAACATGGTTAGAAAAAGAAATAATGGCCCACGGGAAGATGCTCATTCAAAACCACCATGTGAATACATTATACAAAACGACTTTGGTTTTACTGTGGTTGAAATACTAAGAATCTTGAGCAGCTTCTGTAGAAAAATTCAGAACATGATTAAGTCCAGTACCTTACCACCCCCTCCATGTCTTTTATTCATGGACTAGCATCCAGGTGGATTCGTGAGTGAGAGAAGTTGCCTCCATTACACTGAGGAGACAGAATTGACATTCGCTGACTTCCTGCTTGCTATGGTTGAGGTCCTGATGGGTTCCTTATAGGCTTCATCTTCTATAATTTCATGACTCAGTGAGACATAGGTATTCGCCTGGCTCTCAGATGAGAAGACAGAGAGTTGCAGATGAAGTAGAATGACCAGGGTTTACTCGAGTGGTAAAGCCAGAAATCAAACTCAATCCATCTTATTCAAAAGCACACTAATCTTGTATTCTTCTTGTTGCTTTTGAGTCATATCTAGGAAGAAAAAGAAGAAGTGCTGAGATTATGTTGACATTCTCAGAGGGGCGTTAATGTTTGATGCCTTGTGGTACGGTCATATCATTTGGCTCTTCTGGTTCTTAAATCAAGCCCAGCCCCTTTTAGGGCCATATCCCCATCCTGTGGTGAAGGCACAGGCAACAACATTCAGGTGTCCTGAAACCGCATCCCTGAAAACCTGTCTTCCTCCTTCTACCCTGATTCTGATCTAACATCCACTTGTGTGCATGGGTCTGGCCCAACAAACACAAATCCATCTTCTTGCCAGCTACCCCCTCTGGTTCAGTGGGTGTGTATTCAT